CCCTCAGAAGACAGATGTATCAGTACCTGCAGCAGTGGATGATTTTTTTACTGGCTGTGCATTGCCATTGGAACCATTTCTGAGCGTCTTTAGTACTTGTTGTGTGCTGCGGTCTCGACTTTGACTTTTGCCAAGTTTGTCAAAGAAATTATGTTGAAAAGCCGAAGATTGTAAGTCCGGTGCGCGTTGTAACATCTGTTGAAATTTCAGCGGACAGCAAATTTCAAGTGAAGCGAGCTCAAATTGAGGCAGCCGAGTGGAAATACAAGAATGGGTATGACATGTCGGTGGAACAGCTGAGCAGACGAATGGCCGACCTCAACCAGTATTACACGCAGAATGCCGAGTTGCGCTCACTGGGTTGCGGTACTTTTTATGCTTGACGTCTTAGATAATAGGATGAAAATAAAGAGCGAAAGAAGCCCAGCCAAAGCTGATAATGCTGTGTCGAGTTGACAGAAAGGTCATAGATGTAAAGTGGTATGTTATGCGGCCGTAAGTTGCTCGAAGCTTACTGTATGAAGAAGTCGACCATAATGAAGGAAATCCATCATTGTTGAATATCTTGCTGTTCAAGACAAAAAAGATGGAATTTAATGTATGGTGTAATCCTATAATTACCCATTTACCTCCCCCCACTAATTCCTAACACCTCGACCTCCCATCTTACTAACTTCTAACAGTTCCACCAAATTCTAAATGTTTCTATGCTGTCTTTCTTCCTACTCATTAACTGACTTGCCCTCCTTTTCCCTCCACTAATTTTCCCTATATAAACCCTTCCTAGATCCAGACCCACAGTCAGTTAATTAATTAGTTTGTGGCAATCGTCACTCTTCAACGCCGTCACGCCAAACGCTACCAGCCTCAGCTTCAACACTGTCGCCTCCCCGACTGCCGATGTTATTCTGTTGCATAGCTTGTGCAGTACCCCGGCTCATCGTTTACGCGTCATCTTCGTCGTTTCCTCTGGAGTGGAGCGTTTATTAGAGGAATAAACTGCTAGTGTTTCTTCTCTGTCTACCGCTACTGCAGTCAAGGACCACGTAACGGCCCTAACAATGGTAGTAGGGAAGATTTATGAAGATAATGTGGTAAAAACCTCTTGACATGTGAAGAGATCAAGTATCTGAAGTATGTAGGATAGTCTGCCTGTGTTTCATCCCAACTTGGATCCTCGGTGTATTGAAGTAACAAGTCCTAACAAATGAAAGGAAATGTGAATAACATATAACTGTATGTTCTCCTGGATCAACGGGCAATCATTCCATGTTTGATTCAGATTGTTTGTGCCTCCGAAATGAATAGGCGTGCGGGTGCATGCACGTTTATTGAGGACCCAGTTTTTATGAAAAAAAGTGTGTGAAAACATGCACAAATTATGGAAGAAATCTTGAAGGAACTTTGCTTGTTTTTATGCCAAAACGGGGATACTCGTAGTGCTACGTAAATTTTTCTACCTACACCATGCATTCATCTTGCCGCTTTCATTTCCAGTCACAATCGTAGGATTGAATGGAACAGCCTTTTACTGTGAGCAAAATGAAAATGTTGTTGTTGTTGTGTGCCGTAATAATCTGAATGTTTTCTTGACTGCTGTAAATCGTTTGCTCAGTTG